CATACAATAGTAATTGTCTTTCGTCTAGTAAAAACTGTCTGAAATATAGCAGTATAAATATAGCAGATCTGCTGTAGACCTCTGGCACTGCTATGCACATAGAGAACAAATTATTAAATGATTAACAAGAAATAAGGCACACTGAGGCAACCTTTGCAGCACCGCAGCAATCATCTGACCATAGTCTATCTGTACTAATTATTTCTGATTTGGATCACTGAATGGGTTAGAATACCCATTACTAAAATATTTTTGAAATATTTTTTATATTTTTTAAATATTGTTAATATTTTTGAAAATGTTTTGGAAAAGCTGTTAATATTTAAATTCTTGTCCTAAATGATCTTTACAATGGCACTACATCAGTAGTTATTTTGACAGCTACTTCTGAAGATTGAGGGGAATTTGGGGGTTTAATTGGTGGAATTTGAGGGATGGGGAAGAGTTACTTGTTTCTTTCATTGCTTATATTTCAGTTAAAGTATCAAGTGTCAAAGTCTAAAGCTGTTATCTGACTGAAGTTTGTTGTGCGTGGGATGCGAGAATTTTTTCTGTTTGTGCTCTTTTTTTTTGTGTGTGCTTGCCAATTTCTTGGCAGGGCAGAGCAGATGACGTCATCTACCTGGACTTGTGCAAAGTGTTCGACACTGTCCCACACTACATACTTGTCTCTAAATTGGAGAGGCATCAATTTGATGGATGGGCCACTCGGTAGGTGTCCTGGGTTCAGCAGTAGCAGTCATTTTTCTCCTTCTTAGTAGCTGATGCAGTGCTGTGTTTTTGACTTCCAGCTTGGGAACAATGGTGATAACCAATGTTTTTAGTTGCTGCTCAGTAATGTTTACTCTGACCAAGGACTTTGTGAGTCTCATGTTCTGCCAGGGAGGAGGGGAAGCCAGGACAGGGCACCTGACCCAAACTAACCAAAGAGGTATTCCATACTACAGCACGTCATGACCACTATATAAACTGGGGGCAGTTACCCAGAAGAGCTAGATTGCTGCTCGGGTCTGGCTGGGTGTTGGTCAGCTGGTGGTGGCCAGTTGTATTCTCTTCCCTTGTTATTTCCCTTATCATTATTATCATTGGTGGCAGCAGTAGTGGTTTGTGTTATACCTTAGTTACTGGACTGTTCTTATCTCAACCCATGGGAGTTACATTCTTTCAATACTCCTCCCCATCCCTCCGGGAGCAGGGGGAGGAAAGGTGAGGGGGTGGTGGTGGTAAATGAACGGCTGCGTGGTTCTTGTTGCCGGCTGGGCTTAAACCACGACAGTAGATAAAGAAGTGGCTGGATGGCCGCACACAAAGAGCTGTGGTCAATGGCTCAATGTCCAGCTGAAGACCAGTAATGAGTGGCGTCCCTCAGGGATCGGTGTTGGGACCGGTCTTGTTCAACATCTTTGCCACTGACATGGACAATGGGATTGAGTGCGCCCTCAGCAAGTTTGCCAATGACACCAAGCTGTGTGGTTCGGTTGATACGCTGTAGGGAAGGAATGCCATCCAGAGGGACCTTGACACGCTTGTGAGGTGGGCTGATGCCAACCTTATGAAGTTTAACCATGCCAAGTGCAAGGTCCTACACCCGAGTTAGAGAGATTACTCTATCTCAGGCACAGCTACAGGTTGGGCAAGAGAGATTCAGAGCAGCCCTGTGGAGAAGGACTTGGGGGTGTTGGTTGATGAGAAAATAAACATGAGCCGGCTTCAGTGTGCACTTGCAGCCCAGAAAGCCAACCGTATCCTGGGCTGCATCAAAAGGAGTGTGACCAGCAGGTCAAAGGAGGTGATCCTGCCCTTCTACTCTGCTCTTGTGAGACCTCACTTGGAGTACTGTGTGCAGTTCTGGTGTCCTCAACATCAACAGGACATGGAACTGTTGGAACACGTCCAGAGGAGGGCCACGAGGATGATGAGGGGACTGGCAAAATTTTGGGGTAGCTGACATTTAGTGCTTGAGAAGATAAATTCAGGTAAGTAATTAACTCTTAGTTTTTTGGAAGTATAGCACACACTCACACCCAGTTTCTTTAATTTTCAAACTTCCCTGCGTAGATATGCAATAGCAGTGCCATTATATTTTTTTTACATTTGAAGGAGAAAAAAAATCTTTTAAAAACTTTCTGTTCATAAAAACTAGATTAAGAAATGTTTTTGGAAGCATAAAATTATTTCAAATATTTTGAAGCTAAACTAAGTTGAAAATGAACACCATCTGATCTGGCATTTTACTCTTACTCCCTACCTGTAGGCAAATGTAGTGGTCTTAGGAAAACAGTATATTGGCAAATTACTGTAAAATAGCTTTTGCGTATTGCTCAGTATCATTAATCTTTATTAACCCAGCTCATTCCAGAGTTTCAAACTTTTGTTTTTATTTCTAAGTGTTCTATATTTTCTATATTTTCTATATTTTAATATTAAAAAAATGTTCAAAGCAAACTACTTTTTAAATATTCTGGATTAAATTCAATTCAGCATGGATGTTTCTGATACTATTCTAGAGAGTTTTTTATCCCAGGCAAGTTGTGCACCTTGTGCAAGCTGTAAAAATCTTTGGATTTGCAAGCTGACATTGTCCTTAGTGGAACTTTATTCACTGTTCCTTCTGCTGCAGTAAGTCTCAACCAAATCCTCCAATTAGTGCAAAGTTATAAAAGCATAGACAGATGGAAAATTAATATTTATAGCAAAATGCCGAGGGTTTTGATAACTGGAAACTCTTGGAGCAACAGATGATGTTAGCAGTTAAGATTTAGAGAAAGCAGCCTGTTCAGGAAAACATGAAAGCTCTTGTACTTTCTGAAGTAATAAGTCATCTAGTGATGACCTTAAATGTCAGCATTAGTGTTTCTGTGAACTGGAACCATCTGTGGTTAACTGTCTAAAATGAATTGGTTTGTATTGGTAAATAAATAAATAAATAAATATTTCCTCAAGTGGTCCCCAAAACCCAGTAGAAGTTTACAGGATTCACCTCTTATGCCACAGTTTCTATGAGGTTTACAAACACCACCATCTTGACAGATAGTTGAGTATTGCAGATCTGCACATCCGTTTTTGTGATCAGCTCAAAGTGCTGCACGGTTGTGTTGTGAGCTCGGGAGGAATAGCCCAAGAAATATCCACTGAGGAGTGCTGCAGGGGTAGGTGCAGGCATAGGGACTCACGCTTTTCAGTGTTAGTTAGGTTGAAAAAAAATGCATGTGTGTATGGAAGCTTGTACCATGTTATAACATGCCATTACCCGTGTAAGAAGTTTCCATAGCTATTTCTTGAAGAGGTTGAAGTGTTTTAGAAGAGTTTCAAGATTCTCCACATTGAGTGACGCTTTCACTACATTTCAGCATATAACAACAAAATATATTTGTTAAGTATGCTGTTAGTTATGAATATCTTATACCATTCATACTTTCTATAGTATTGTTATCTTAATCTTGCGTTGCATTATGCCACTATGGTAATTTTTAAAGCAGAACAAGAAAGAAGGATTTCGGTGAGATGCATAATGTTCTGATAGCAGTAAACCTCTCTACCTTCAAGGCAAGAGCTGCTTCTCTTTTTACTTTTTTTTTTAATGATTTAACATATATATTGAAATAGCATCACTAATGTGATACTGTGTTGCTTTTCAGCATCTTAGTCTTTTAAGCCAGATTGTTGCAAATATATATATATAATGGAAAGTAAGATTTGTCATTTGTGTTTTCAAGCTATGAGATGATACTTCAGATGATTTGTAAAATCATGTAGTTGCTGAAAGTAGCCGACAGTTGCTTAACTATTTCCACAAAACCACCTGTGCGCCTAGTATCTATTACAAACGGTGAGATACAGCCACAGCAGAGGTACTTGTGCTCCTGCATGCGTTGCTGCTTTTGGAAATTCCACCCGTGCACTTGCCTCTCAGAAGCTTTGAGTCCCACCTGTGGTTCTCTTTTCAGAGCAGCAGCATTTCAGTACTCTATGTCACTGCCACAGTTGCTGTCTTCCTAAGCTGTATAAGAAGTGCAAGTGTACTTTCGTTGCTTATTCAGGAACAATACATCAAGGTCACCAAGAAGAGAGGAAGAATGTTGTACTGATGTCTCCAGTTTAGAAAGGATGTTTAAGGTTGAATTGCAGAAATAAGGGACAAAAATATTTTCTTTTCTTTTTCTTTTGAGGTGGCAGCAGACAGTGACTACAGTATGTAAATATTTGTGAAGAAAGGACCGTGAGGAGTAAAGGAGTCCTTAGCAGAAAGCATACAAGGACTAAGCCATTGGTTTATGGCTAACAGATAAAAACTAGAAGCAAAGCCACCTTAGTGTCTAACAACACATACAATCTTGTCAGTGTTTGGGGGATGGTGAACCATGCGATGGTTTCTTCATCTCTTGTGTGTTTTCACATAGAGGCTGCAAGCATTTTCCAGAGGATTTGCTGTTATAAATAAAGGCTGATCTTTGGGCTTAATACAGGAACAACTGAATGAAATTTAATGCCCTGTGTTAAGTTTGGTTTAGGAAGATTGAAGGAATGGTGCAGCAATTCTGAGGAGCACAAAGACTTTTTTTGAGAAAATAAAAGGAACGATTTCTTCTCTAGAGTTTGTGGTAGAATGCACAAGAATTGATGGGTTTTAGTGCAGCAAGTTAGACATAAAGAAAAATGTTCCACTTGTCAGAACAGTGAAATATGGGGGAAAAAAAATGCCTGTGGAAGTTGAAATAATAATTTAGATATGGTTAACTTTTTCCTTGAGTAACAGAGATGAACTGAATGACCTCTAAAGTTTCTCCCAGCCTTTTCTCTGACAGCCTGTAGTGAGTAATGTAGCTGTCAATTTTATCTTCAACTTCCTAAATCTTATTCTGATTATCTTTTACCACTGCTCTGCCAAAGTCTTGGGATTTCATGTAATGTTATCTATTTAATGGCCTTACTCTGAACACAAATGATATTCCATACATAATTTCAAGGAAAAAAGTAACAACCCACCATCTTCTTTTTAGGTCCTCCAGGGAAAAGAGGTAAGCGGGGCAGAAGAGGAGAGACTGGTAAGTTTTCAGTTTCATAAGATCCATTGTTTTTTGGCACCTGTGTTTTTGTGAGGATACATAGCCAGCATGCCTTCATTTTTAGTTTTATTACTTGAGTGCTACAAAAGAGAGTTCTGAAATGTCTCTGAAAAAGATTTGTGACCCTTGGCATATACCTGATGGCTTTCCAGATAGTTTTCTAGTCTTGGGCATCACTAATTTGTAGGCAGACTTCAGAATGCTTGACATGGTATCATTTGTAACATATTCTAGTCATCAAAACATTTTGGTGTCTTCGCACATTTGTGCAAGTTAGAGTAACTCCATGTCATTCAGTAGTTGGAGTGCTATAAGTCAGTGTTACATCAAGCCCCCTTGGTCCGAAGTGAACAATTGTGTAAGGAAATAAAGAGCAAAATGAATTTTTTTATGTTAAGAGTATCAGTACTCAGGGAAATAACATGATAAGTAGACTGCTCTATATAAGAGAAATTGTTTTTACTAGAAATGAGTGCCAAGTAAGTTCTTACGGAAAAACATTTGTTGGTTCATTACCCCATACCAGGGGGATTGCTGTTGAGAAGATCCTGCTGGTGGTAAGGAGCTTGACATTTCATTTAAGACAATGTTGTGAGATGCTGAGCACCTCTTCCTGCTGACATTCACAAGAATTGGAATTGTTGATTACCTTGCAAGATTGAGTTCTTCATAGAGGTGAATTTTCTGGAGGCAATGCAGGAGAAAATGAGCATTTCTGCCCTCCTTGGCTGTCTCGTCTAACCTGCCAGTTAGGAAAATCTCCCAATCAACTTGATCTCTGTAAATCTCCTGTAGCTTTTCTTATCTCTGTAAATGATCATTTATCTGACTTTTAAAAATTATTTCCATATTTTCCTGCATCGCAAAACTGGAGCCAAGCCCTGCCAAAGGTTAATACAAATCACCTTGGTGTTTCCATTCAGTGTTGGCTTAGTATTTGCTTCAAAGAAAAATCCTGTGGTACAGAAGGAAATTCTGTGTTTGAGGATTGTCTTACAAATGATCCTGACAATTTGCAGGATGCTTTTTGATTCATTTTACATTTCAAATAAACACATATTAAACTATTAATAAGGGAAATTGATCTCATTTAAAAACAGACCTGCACCTTAAAATGGTGTTTAAGAATGTTTACCAGGATAAAGAGATTACCTTAGTTACTGGACAATAAAATTGCATTGTTAAAACCAAAAGGCTGTCAATATTAAAAGCAATCTCAAAGTACAGCTGCTGTTGTTTTATATTCCTTTTGCACTTCACTTTATTCAGAAATTAGAGAGAGGCATAAAAGCTTAATGAAATGCCATTGATTTGGGAACTGCAGCTGCTCAACTTAATAAGACTGAAATAGTAGATTTGATTTGTGGCCCTTTGATAATGTTTCCAAGAACTGCTGTACAGGTCTTTGAGTCTAAATAATTGAAAAAATGTGCAAATATCACTTCACAAAGTGTGACATTTTAATGGGAAGCATTTTATATGTGTTCCTTAAGAAAGGAAGGTGATGAAAAGAAAGTTCAGCCCTGCCAGGTCACCACTAAAACCTCTTCTCATAGGCGAAGTTGGAATGCTGGAAGGTCCTCGTACCTATATGTCTTGATGAGATGCCCAGGTTAAATGCCAAGGGTACTTTGTGCAATTTTGCAGCCAAGCTGTGATCAAATACCAACTGTGTGGCTAACTGAAACTGGTGATGTGGTTACATATGCTTGATGCGGAGACTGACAAAATGAATTGTAGTCCATGGCTGGTATTCTTGGACTGGCATGAAATTGCATGGAAATCGATGGAGAAGCAACTTGCGTAAGATTGCATGACTGTAGTTGAAGAATCGGTAAGGTAAGCGCATGCATTTAGGCCTTAGTCGTATTTACAAGTTACAAAGCACAACCAAGCTAAAAAGTACTTGAATGGGAAAATGTGTACAGTGTATTAGCAGTGCTGCTCACTTACAATCCTGAGGCCTTATGCTTAGCTTCATACATATGTGTCTTTCTTTAATAACTTCATAAGCTTACACATTCTTTTTTTCTCTTTTTTTTACCCTCTTTCCCTCTACCCTATCCCACAGGACCTCCTGTAAGTACAGTGATACATTGTTGGTTCTTCCAGAATCAGGGAGAAATCTGTTAGATCCTGTTAAGTTATCACTGTGATAAAATGATCATGTATCATCAAGAGGGAATTTTGATACTTACACAGTGTAAATATTCACTAATTATCTTGGAGCTGAATAATTTAATCAGAAAGTTCCTTAAGAAAAAATTCTCTAAACCAATAGAGCTTTATAGTCACCACTCCAGATAACAGTTTGGATCACAATTCCATGTAAGTATGTTATGCTCATTTTGTTTATGCCTTGATAACAGATACTTTAATACAGTATAAAATGTGCAAGTGTAGTATCTTAAGCCCAGACGCGGTCACTCTGCCTTTTTCTAGGTAGTAACTTGCACTGCAGTCATCACAAAGTCTTGGGGTACCCGGTCCTTGTTCTTTGGAGGTATATGAGCTATCCAGCTTATTGCAGAATAATCACAGCTGAAGGCAGTATGTGCTAGTGTAAAATGAATATTAAATAATACTGTTCAGTTTAGTAAATTAGTTGAATCTTGTGCTAATCCTATTTGTAAGAAAACAGTTTCTCTCTTCTGGGGTTTTATGATGGTTTTGTTTTGCAGCTAGGTTATTAACTTGGTTGGGTTTTGTTTACTTTGTTGTACATTCCTGGAGTAGGTCAAAAGTCAGACTTGGAAGAACAGGACTAAACACTCGTATCTTAAACATTTCTATTTGTCATGCCATTCGTGCGCACCATATGGTGTAAAAGTGTGACCATTAAAAGAGTGTTTCTTTTACAGTGTCTGCAGGCTTCTATTATTTTTTTTCTTTGATTGATATAGCATTTCCACAATATTTTCAGGACCAGATTATTTGTCTATTCTATGCTACATGCGTGCTTGAGAAAGGTGAATTAGTATGTTGAATTCCTGCTATGACCTAATAATTTTACTGTAAATGGTATATACTGAGCAGTGATACTACTTATCCCTGCCTGACAGATTTTGACCACGTACTTTGTAGCTCACAGTGTCAAATTCATTTAATAAGCCATCAATGAAAACCCATGCTTAATGCATAAAGGTACTGTTTATTTGAAAGAAACACCACCTTCCCCCATTTCTTTTGCAATCTTCCCAAAAGAGCAACTGTAAATCAAGATAAAAACAATTTTTCTGTAGTAAGACAATGTGGCAAAAGTTCACTGTGTGTCTCATTATGAATGTCTTTGACTTCAGCTCCCTGCTGTTTTAGTGCAGGTCCATTTTAAAAACGAAAGAAAGGGTCTCAATTGTGGCTCCCAAAATGGAATAATTTTAGGAAGAATCTGAATTAAGTTCTACTTTCATATTCAAAACCTACAGGACTTCGTCTCGCTGAGAGGCAGTAAGGGTTTAAGTTGATAAAAAGCAAAATGTAATTTCTGTTCCCAAATAACTTTATTATTTTCATAGACAAAGTCTGGCTAGGGGCAACTGGTGTGAACTTAGTGTTTTCATCTGGGAGACTGTGGTAATAATTTTCATTTAAAATAGCAAATATTTGTTTATCCCACATAGGGATTAGGTGGATGTTGTATTTTCAATGGTTACCGTAGTGGTCTGCTTATTTTCCTGGTACATGACTACTGAGTATCACATGTAATAGAATTCAAAGGCTGCAGCTTTCATTTATTTTATTTTTTTTATGATCTGTTATAGCATTCTCAAATTTCTTCTTTGGCACCTGTGTGCTAGTGGCAGCCTATGTATGTAATACTTTACTGCCTAAGCACTAAATCTGTTTTCCTTTTAACCACATACTGCCCTTCAGTCTAAATGGATAATTCTCTTAATAACAAAAGGAATTTCAATAAACATCAGAAGAGCCATTAGCCTTTTAGTTAGAGGGTTTATTTAAGTCAAAACATATAATTTTCATTTCTTCACTGTGTAGTACATATTTCATATTTATCGGTTTGTAATGTCATCACATATCAACAGTTAATTGATATGCAAATTATAATCTGCCAGTAATGTACTCTGCATGTTTGTTATGTCGTATGTCATGACTGCATTGTTAATGTGTGTCGTACCATTTCATCTCATTCAACCAGGGTCTACCAGGGCGAAATGGCTATCCGGTAACTCATCAAATATTTATGACAGTATATATTACTCTGAAATCATGATCTTGTGTTTTGGTTTTCCTCTATGGCTGTCAAAAAGACCTGCTTTCTATTTCTCATATGCCTATAAAATGTAGGACTTTCCTCTAGAAACAAAACAAAAAAATTTTTAAAAGATTTTTAAAAGAATGAGTGTTTGAAGTGCATAAATGCAAACACATATTTTGTGTTCAGTTTCTGCATTCTTGCATACAAAACTAAGTTTTACTCTAATTAAAAAAAAAGTAATTCTTTAGCAAGATGTTGCATCTCAATTTACCATGTTAGAAAGCTGTACAGTTGCTTTATGGAACCTCTAAGTCCTTCTTTGAATTCTGTCCTTTTTCTTTTGACTGCTTCAAGCAATGAATGTTGAGAAAAGTAAAATGCTATGGCAGAGGTCCTAGCAGTTGGCTGCATTGTCTGTCACAGAGTAATTTTCTAATAATGGATGCAATTAAGTTTTCTGTCAGTTTCACCCATATCTCTAGGATTTATTGCCTTAAAAATATATGAAATAATGCATCTTTCTAAAATCTACTAATAATATATTTCTTCTATGTAGTCAGGCTAGCTGACTGCAGTGTCCCAGTCAAGGAAAGAAGTGTATGCCTACTGTCACACGTGTATTAGAAACCAAGTGACAAAATGTGTTATTGTGATACATTTCAGAGACAATGCATATGCACAACAGAGTGACTGTTAAAGTATGATAATGATATTGCTCAAAGCACTTGATAGTATATCTTGGAAGGCCCTCCCCTACTGATTTGCCTATATATTTCAGGCAAAATATGCCTAATTTTTCAGTGAGTTTTAAAAATGTCTCTGTTGGTAAATATAAATCCCATGCCTTGAACATCTGCAAGTAAAAGGTAATTTCACAGTATCATTGAATCTCAGAAAGGTTTGGGTTGGAATGGAACTGTATAGATCATCTAGTCTAATACCGGCCATGGGCTGCGACATATTTCACTAGACCACGTTGCTCAAAGCCCGGTTCAACCTGACCTTGAATGTCTCCAGTTGTGAGGAATGCACAGCTTTGGGAAACCTGTTCCAGTGTCTCTCTGCCCACATCTTCCTTATTTTTGACCTAAACCTGTCCTCTTTTAAAATCGTTGTCCCTTGTCCTGTCACTACAAGCCTTGGTAAAAACAAAACAAATCCAGGCCGAACCAACTAGGTGACAACAGCAAAAATAACAAACATAAACAAAAAACCCAAATCAAAAGACAAAAAACAGAGCAAAACAAAACAACCAAACCCAAACCCCTCCATGTTTCTTATAAGCCTCCACTATATATTGAAAGTCCTCAGGAAGATCTCCCTACAGTCATCCTTTCTCCATTTGGAAGCCCAACTCTCTCAGCCTGTCTTTGTAGGAGAGGTGCTTCAACCCTCTGATCATCTTTGTGGCCCTCCTCTCAGCTTGCTCTAACAGGTCCATGTCTTCATTATACTGGGGGCTCCAGAGCTGAATGCAGAACTGCAGGCAGAGTCTCAGCAGAATAGAGGAGGAAAATCACTTCCCTCAACCTGCTGGTCACAGTTCTTTTTATGCAGCCTATTACAACGCTTTTCTCTGGGCATCTTCTGTAGTTGCAGAGCCTTCTGAGAAATACTACCAATGAAGCATCATCCAGTGTCTATCTTTATTACTAGAAGTCGTTGAAAGTCAGCTGGGGAGGAATTGATCATCATTATTAAGAAACATGTTGGATATACTGAAACCATTATCAGGTTTCTTATTTCACTTAGAGTGCTTAATCTGTGTAGGCGAGTGCACAAGTGTGTGGAGGAGGAGATACGATGAAAAACTTGCTAAAACCCCTTTTTTGCTCATCATCCAGCTATTAGCTCTGTGTACAAAGACTGGAATTTAAAAGAAAAAAGACCCATAGTGACAGTAAACCAGCTGTTAGGCTTCTGTGAAAATTAAATCTTTGGTGTTCCTCATTTCAGTTAATGAGCTTAATACTCAAGGTGAAGTTTTTATTGTGCACAGCACTAAAAACCTCATAGAGGTAACTTTTTGGCCTAAAGTGTAAGTTGAGATAATGAGTGAATCTATTAGTGATGGATTCATGCATGTCTTGAAGGCTTCATGGGGACAGTTTGAAAATACAATTTTCTGTAGAGCCTGAAGGCCAGTCCTTTCTACTGGTCCAGCTGCTTTCTTGAGAAGATTTGCTGTGGAATTTGAAGACAATAAAGTTCTTGGAAGCCACGCTATTGAAATTGCTGGGTCTAATAGTGGCATTGTTATAGGCAAACTTTAGCCTGAAAGCATTTCTGTTCATGCATGCAGCCATCGATGTATGCAATCATTTGCCTTCAGTAGTGCTTAGCATGGGTTGAACTCTACTTCTTCCTGCTTGAAAGTGACTGAGAATAGAATGTGGCTATGGTTCCTGAAAATTGTCACATGGCTAGCTGTTTCCATCTTTTCAGTTACAGCCATATCCTCCTGCTTTGAATGGGAAGTATGTAACAGCAAGTGCAATGCACTTTAAAAGTACTTATATAGCCCTATAGAGCTCTATGAAAAGGCTATTAGTGTTTAAAGTTATTTCTCTAGAGTCCTATTTAACTCCTGTAGAAATATTATTGCTTTAATCTTTATTGGATATTCTGTGAGGATAGTGAGATATGTCTGTGAAATACAACTTAAAAAAAACCCTCTCTGCTCAATAGCCCAAAACATAAGGTTGTAATCTCCAAAATCTAGTGATTGGTTTCTCCAGGACAGAAGTTTTCATTATCCATGTTCATTCTAAATTTAAGAGTAACTTTAGAAATAATAATTATAACAGTAAAAGGAACAAAAGTGATAAATATAAGTTTCCGGGAAGATATGGTATTGAAAGTCAAGAAAATAAGCTGGACTTACTGCTAATGAATGCCACAGTTATAAAGGGTTTTATAAGACCATAATTAAGTGGTTATTATGTAAGGCACCATGAATACTATAAAAAGTTTACACTGTACAGCTCCTTTCTTTCCTCATTAAAACCTTTACGTAACAGACAAATGACCAAATTTGGAGTTGTAACTCTTTCAACTTGAGTTTAAAATTGAAATAGGCTATCACATCTCCTTAAATGAAAGAGAGCAAAAGAGTGTTCAAACATTAGAGAATATGAATATAGGCATTTGTTGCAGGGGTTTTGCATGACAATGTCACTTAAGAAATAATGCTAGAACTTGGAAAAAATAAAACATAACAACAAAAAAAAAACAACCATTAAAAATACCCCTTTTCTCAAGCTGAGGTACAGACCAAGATAAATGTCCAAGCACATCATCATGGAAGTTGTTGCATATATGGTGGTAAAGCTGCACTATCTCCAGAATAAAGGGTCGGAATATAAAGATGTCCATATAGCATTGCTTCATAAAAGAGGGGATCAGGGAAATTTCACCTACATTTTACCCTGATGTCAGTCTGCAGAACATCTGATGCATTTACAAGACTTTTAGGAATTGTGGAGGGTTATGGTTGCTCCAGGTGATCTTGTATTAAATCATAGAATCATAGAATAGTTAGGGTTGGAAAAGACCTTAAGCTCATCTAGTTCCAACCCCCCTGCCATGGGCAGGGGTGCCTCTCCTAACATCCTTGTCTCACCTTCAAGAAATGGAAGCAGATTCTTCTCTTGCAGAAAAGGATGTTTCTGAAGTGGAGGTTGTTCTGTAACTAATATCACCACTTGTTCAAACATGAAATGTGCATCTTTGAAATTTCATCTGTCATTTCATTTAATATTTTCCTAGCTCTTGAAAGACTTTCTTACCTCTGAATGGTGAAGATAACAAACTGGCCAAGATTAGGACTGCAGGTAGAAAATTTCAATTATTCTTTAGCCTGTTATATTTCCTCCAAAATCAGAAAATATCTTGATCACCACACTTCTAATGTTTGCACATGTAAAAAAGTTTCCCAATATACCCTAAGACAAACTGTTATCCTGATATGTAAAGAATTTCAGGCTGCCAGTAGAAGGCTCTGATTCCCCTTCACCTCCCTTTCTGTATTACTAAAGGTGAAGAGCATTTCAGGTAGAACAGAGAAGGGCTGTGAGGGGGTTGAATTTGAAGAAATAGTTCTGGTGTGGAAGAGCGTGGAAACTCCTGTTGTGAGAAACTGAAAAAAGGCATATTTTATTGTCCTGCTGTGTTGCTTTGCCTTTGAAGGTGTTTCATGTTTCATTTTCTGCTGGGTCTCCAATTAAAGACTGGGGCTGTGTAGGCAAATGTGTAGTAAGTAGCAGTGTCTGTATATGTAGGTATGTATGTAAAATTAATCCTATTCAAATACAAGATTTTCAACCGCATACTATGGCACCTGATTTGCTGTAAAATGAACATAACTGGAATAATCAAAAGAGAAGAAATAAGCAGAGACTGAAAGTTTTGTATCTGTGATTAAGTACAGCTTATGGCAATATTAAGCACTTCTGCAACAGCTGTGGCATTCCCAGTAGCAGGTCAGTCTCCTCTTTTTCACAGTCGTAGTAAAATATAAATGTCTAAGTTGAAGGGGTGGCTATGTCAAGTCCTAATCTTACACTGAGAGTTTGGCTTGGTGATCCTGTAGAAGTTTCCCAATCTGCAGCATTTCTACAGTCAGTTTCTACAGCTGCAGGCAAAGGATACTTTCAGTGTCTTCAATGGATATATCTGCCAAGTCCAGCACTCAGTGGTAGCTCTAGCTACTGGAATGGATTGTTCTAAGTGATGGATATTAGTATGACCTTTTTCAAGCCATAAATATGTTATAGGATGCATACTTTGAACAGTGGTCAGCCAGAGGGGGGTCACTTGCTTAAGTATGAAGTTTGTCTTGATATCAAACCATAGATATGGCCCTAATGGCAGTTTTTATCTGTGGTATGAAAAATTCCATTCTGTCAATTAATATTCTGATAGGTAAGAGGTAAAGTCCACTCTGTAAAAAAAGACAGTTACACTTT